ACGGCGTGCGGGAGCTCGGGCGGGAGGGGTCCGCCGTGCGCTGGGCCCGGCCGGAGCCTGGGCATAAGGGCTTGTTCTCCTGCCAGCCCTTAGATTTGATTGTTTGCCCTGTTTGGCAGAGGTGAGAGCTCCTCATCGGTGCAGTGATCCTTAAAGTCACTGGCCAGAGCTTGGGCAGGGCATCTGTGAGACCCGGAAATTAATTTTGCCTTCAAAAGGAATCGCGTGGAACTTTCATCTTCTTCCTCATTTATGACCTAAACTGACAAGCCATGTACGAAACATAAGCTAAATTAGGCTGGTAATAATTGTGCAGCTTTTACCACTTCACTTTTGACCTGTAATTTTTGTCTCAGGTAGCTTTTGGGTTTGTGTCCTGGATCTCAGAGAAGAAAGACCCTCTTGTGGGGGAGCAGCAGAGACTTACACTGTCTCAGGCTCTGCTCAGGTCAAAAGAGCCATAATACGTGGTGAAGTTTGATTTACATGCTTTGTTCGCAGGTCTCGTGTTTAAATGTGGACTGTCTCTGCAATGAACATAGTTTTGTCTTAATGTGTAATTTGTTTCCCTTCCTTCCACAGGAATTACTACTATTGGTGTAAAGACACTGTTGTGAAGACATCCTAGTGATAGGTAGGTCTTCATAGCTCAACTGACTCCTCTTAGGATGGCAGGCAGCCATAACTGTATCCTAAGCGCTGGATATGCCTTGTATTTATAGCCATTCACAAATAAGAATGCAGTATATAGTGTTGTGAATTTTTACCTTTTCTTTTTAAGGGAAGTAGGTTGTACTGCCAACTGTCTGAGCAGTCATGGGCTTATGTTTCTGCGTGACTGTAACTAGGGCACTTTGGAATTAAAATTTACGTCATACTCCTGCAACACTCAGTATTAATCTGAAGCAGAAAGCATCAAAATGCTTTTCAGACATTTTCCTCTTCTGGTGGTAATTCACCAAGAGTAAGCAAAAGTAGAAAATGAAATAAGTGCTTATGAGAAGAGGCACACTATTGATGTTGTTACACTGCATGCTTTTCTTACTGAAATCTTCAGATATTTTTTGAAGAGCATGTAATAGGGCGAGTTTAAAATACACGGCACAAATTGAAGTTTAACACCTTAAACTGTGAAATTTACTGCCATGGGATGTCATGGAAACACTAGTGTTCATGGGTTCAGAGAAATGCCACATTTCTTTAAAATTTTCTTTAAGTGCCAAAAGCAGTTTAGAGCTGATAAAAGGTATCTGAACTGATGCTTACTGAATCAGGAGGAATGCACCTGGAAAAGTAATTTCTGTATGCATGCTCTAGTTTTATATTTTACTGAACATTTCTTGCTACATGTGGCAGCTGATCCCACCCTGGTAACAACTGAAGCATCTCAACCATTGAACCACAGTTTTCCTGAATGATTGCTGTCACATGCACACTGGGGTTGAAAAGCAAGGCCAATGAAGCACTTCAGTTGAAAGAAGGGTTTTGACCATTAACCATCTATGACCAGAGATCAGAATAGATAAGGTTATAATTTGAGTCCCACTGGGGGGCTAGCTGAGTCAGTCCTCTTTGAACCAGTGGGTCCGCAGTTGGAGACACCCCTTGGGTTGAGACACCACCTGAGGGAACTACTCAAGTTGAGAGCCCTTGCCTTACAGGGGGACTGATTGTGGGTTTTGGGTCATCATTTCTAAAACTTATCTTAAGCCAGCTGTGGAGTATTAATTCTATTTAGCATCTTCAACTTGTAGTTTATTCATGTTTGTCGAAGTGTTAAATGATTTTGAATAGAGCCAGTTTAATTCCTAGTTTGTCACCTGTCAATTTTTAATAGAACTAATTTCCTTTGAGTTCATCACCTGCTCATGTTGACTTTTTTTGTCAGCCTCTGTGACACTACCCATTGCCAGAAACTGGACACTGAGTTAGGGACATCTCTGGCCTGACTGAAAAAGGCACTTCTCACCAGCTAAAGATGCAGGGACAAAAGCAGCAGTGGGCAAAGAATGTGGTCAGATGTCAGTTGTTTGGAGCATTTCTGATGTAAATGTAGTTTGCTTTTTCAAGAAAGATTTGTATAAATGGTTTCTGTTGAAATCTGCTAAATTTATTGAAGTTTCTCCTTTTAATATCATCTTATATTTTTACCTTAATATAAGGGAACCTTAAGGCAACAGGTTAATTAATCCGACGCTCATTGGTGTTCTGCACAAAGTCAAACCACCCTCAGTCCCACACTGGTGGGTCTTTCTGAGCTGTACCTCTCATCACTTCTAGGATGGCAGCCATGTGGCAGCACTACATCTAGCACACCACTAGAGGACTTTGCTCTCAGAGCGTGAACCACATTACCAAGTTATAAAAAACAGTATTTCATGGTCTTGTCTCACTATATGACAGGCACTGCCTCGACTTCTTTTGACTCCAGTGCAGTTAAATGCTGTAGTTGCTTTGGTCTGTTTTATTTATTTTCATCAACGCTTACTTGCACCAAGTTGGTAAGGAGACAGGCATGTCTAATTATCAGTGGGAAATTATTTTAAAACTGAGAAAAGGAAATAATATTTATAAAAAAAATTTTCCATCATTAATGATAGCATAGGGAAATGCATCTCTTCCTCATTTTGAATTCTGCATTTGCTGGTGAAGGGCTCAGTTGCTTCCATATTTTATTTTTTTGAAAGTATAAGTTATAAAAGTTGAGTTACCACGTTTCTTTTCTGCTTCTTGTCATGTTTTATATTTTATGGAGTTTGTTTTGGAAGAATAATTCATGTGAATATAAACCAAACTCAGTCTTAATTTAGTGTACCAGCTTGCAACATTGTTATGCTCTGCTTTATATTTGTAATCTAACGTTTCATTAATAATTTATTATGTTTGGCAAAACAGGTTCTTCGTGTTCAGTGAGCTGATATGGCTAGATAGTTCTGCCAGGGTTTTTCCCCTCCTTCCCCTTCAGAGAGCATGTGAACATGTTGTGTATTAATAATAAAGTATCAGACTTCATCGCTTGCTGCTTTAAAAACTGTATTTATATTAAGCTGTGAATCTGATTCTGTTTATGCTGAGGCTAGTTCAAAGAATCTTTCATCATGTAGAAATGAGAGTGGGTGTGCAAATGAAATACACGTCATTTTTCTGAAGTGGAAACTGGAAGAAGTAGCTACCATGGACCTGAGTTTTTAAGTATGAGAAATAGACGTTATAGCAACCTTGACAGTACCCAGATGCATGCTTTGGTTGCCTGGTGCCTGATCTGCAATCCTTGGCTCTCACGAGTCATCCCATGGATTGCAGCAGGACTGCTCATGTATGTAGGGCTTTTTGTGGATGGGTGGGTGTGACCAAGGCTTTATGGGGTTGAGCTTAGCATGGACTTTGCAAAGGACAGCAGTTTGCCTCAGTGGTAGCTGCATGATTGGCATTTTCTTTGAACATGGCCCATCCCCATTCTCCTTTCATGCAAAAAGTTGTCATTTCATCAATATTGTTAAATCCAGGGCAGAACGTTTCTCTTGTATGTACTGTATTCATATGCATTTTGAAAAGTCCTAGTATAAATCTACAGCAGTTTTAAGTGCTGTCTTGGCTATATTCCAGTGTTGCTGGAAATAGCATTTGACCACGTCTTAGGGTACCAGTGGTAGTTCAGTGTACAGAGTTTCTGTTGCTTTCCTCTGGCACTCACCTAACATAAATTTCAAGTTGAGGGTGAGAGTGTCAGGAGAAACATGTGGATGAAGCAGCTAACCTCTTGATGTAGTAATTTTCAGGTAAGGAGGAGATTTAGAATGTTGCTCTGTGATTCATGCTGGTAAATCACACTCAAAATGATAGTAATTATAAATCCTGCCTGGTGTTTACAGGTATCATGTTCTCTCTCCCTCCTTTATTTTTTATCCTCTCCAGTTACCTGTCTTCCTTTAGCCTTTTTCTCCCATTTAAAAATTTTGACAGCAATGTGAATTGGCTTGTGTTTTCTTTTCTAGTAGGCAGGATCAGATGTCAGGGGGGAAAAAAAAACTAAATTAAGTGAAAGAAGGGATGGTATGTAGTTATACATGCATGACAGATTTAAACAAAACTCGTGGAGCCAAGATGGGTTTAATAATCTTATGGTAATTGCTGCTCTTATAGAGGTACGTGTGCAGACATCACTAAAAAGTGAGAACGGTGTGTTTCATTTAAGTTTATGATTTTTGTTCGGCATTAATTTGGAAAATAAAGGTTGTAGAAGCATAAAGTGTGGGAAAAAATAGAAAAAGGGGGGAAAAAAAAGGGTGCATTGTGTAGTAGGCTCCCTTTTAACCTTCTTTACTGGGAAATTTTAAGGAATGAGATTTTTCTGATGCTAATTGAAAGCTATAAATAAGAGACTTCAACTAGCCACAATAGAGAAGCATATTTAGTACCTGTAGGCCATATTACTCAAGTTCAACCAAAGTATATTCAGTGCTTGTGGCCATCTTAATACGTATATTTTTATGAATTAAAAAGCTGCTTGTTTTTAAAGTAACTATTATAGAGTAACTAAGAAAACTGTTTTCTTTTCTAGTTCACCCTGATCGCCAGAAAAAAAACTCCACAGGAGATGGTAAGCAGTCTTTATGGGCTTCTGTGTGATAACTTAATCACATATTAAATACAAAATTAATGTAAACACTTTTATTGAACTGTTGGTGCAGACATAAAAAAATTAGATGTGAAAGTAGCTAAATTGCTTTGAATATAGAATTCATACTGCTATGGTGAATGATTTGTCTACGCCTGGGAAGACTCCAGAGACATAACAGGAAAATAAGAGGACTCTGATCATTTGCCTTAGATTTATAGCTTTTGTTTCCTTGAGGAAATCTCTTATTTCCTTTTATTCTGCAGCTGAAAAAGCACAGACATAGACTGAGACTTTAAAGTGTTCCTTTCCCTTTTCCGCCCCAATGTAAAACATTTCTGTAATTTCTTTTTTACCAGATGTATTTTTAAAATTCAAATGTAGAAGGGGTTTCCAAGGGTCATTTTCAAGAAAAAAAAGCCACAAAAAGTAGTTGGCCAGGCACCAGCATCAGAGTTCTGTCTGCATGAACTGACTTTTTGTCTTCCTTTCCCCTAAATTAACAGCTGGACCTAGTCAGCTAGGCAAATCGGCCAGCTGGATTACAGAGCTTTCAGTAAAATCATCAAGGCCCTTTTTAGAAACATTTTAGAAGAAGAGAACTTAATTTTTGAGCCTTAAAAGAATATCTTCTTTGGAAATACATAGAACGTAGGCAATACCTGCTTCTGTCAAGCTTCATGATGTTGCAAAACTGGATTTTTAAGTAGTGGAAAAAGTAGACAAAATGTTCTAAAAGTAAGCTGTGAATGTATCAGATTGGACAACAGGACATTCTCATCTGATTGCTGAAGGAGGAGAATTCAGTGTGACATTCTTAAGCAAAGCAAGAACAGTAAATAAAACATTGTTCATCCCAGCTTTTAGGTGGTTGGATGAATAAGAATGCAGAAATTCCATATGGAAGACAGATGCTTTTCTTGCACCCACTCATTTAAGGAATAATTATTCTGAAAAGCATGGTCTTGCAACAGTGCAGTGTGAGACCATGAGGAGAATCAGAATGAAGTCTCATCTCTGCAAATTGTTACTTTTCAGGAAATTTAATTTGTCTGGACTTTTAAGTCATGTGGCTGAGCCCTGCTGGCCTTCACAAATAGGGTTCAATTTTTAATCAGAAATATATTGAGGAATGCAAGTTTGTTGTGGTGGGTTTTCTTTATGGACTGTATTAGCTGGAGGCATTTTGTTTCTGTGAGTACTTACCAATGAGAGCTCTTAAAAATAGCATTTATAAATCTCTTGTGGGATAGTGGGCTCAATTTTGTGGAAAGAGGGGGAATCATGAGAGTTACAGTTATTGTTCCAAGCTCTCTAGCATTTGAATTACTGACTGATAACCAGAAAGTGAAAACAAATGTGAGTAAATGAAATTAACCTCTCTTGATACCATTAGCATTAAATGGAAAGTATTTCCTAGGGTTTTTTTTTTTCAGTTTTGGTTTTTTGGTTTTTTTTTTTTTGCAGGGGTTTTTATTTTGCTTTTTTTTTTTGAGTTACTTTTTTTTCCAGAGAATCATGCTTTTAAAGCTACAGAATGGTGCCAGTGCAGAACAAGAAAACACACTTAAAGAAAGCTTTCTGTCTTGTATGTCTTTTTTTTTTTTTTTTTTAAAAAAAAAAAAAAGGACTGTAAATGTCATATTCATCTCTGAAAACCTCAGCTAATCTTGCCATAGTTTTGAGTGTTTGCCAAAACATGATTTACTTAAAATTCTTCCAGTTTAAAATACAGGCATTACATTTTGGCCCAGATGAGAGATTTTCTATGGAAGTTAAGTTTTGGAGGGAAGGGGGGGGAAAAAATTGCTATTTATTCTACTTATTCTAGACTCTAATTTACTTTATGGTCTTGTTTTAAGATTCTCTATTATCCCCTCTTTTGCAGAGTAGGATAGAGAAGGAGATGAAATGGCCCTAGGAAGGGGGCTTAAGGCTAGAGTGACTGCAGAGCTTTGTAGTGGCTGGTGAAATCTGTACAGCATGAAACTTTTCAGGAAATCTAAGATTAGCTGGAAGACAGGAGAAGGTGTTACAGTATGTTTTGTTCTATAGCACTGCTTTTCTGTGCACTTTATCAATGCTACTTGATTACCTGTTTTCATATGTCGGTTGATGATGAACTCAAAAGGGGGATTTTCTGGCAGCTTACACTTGGCTAAATACCATCTTGTTTTTGATCGAGGCCATGATGGATATATGAACTTGGCGGAATTGCCATTTGACCTTTTCTGAGAAACTAATTTTTGGCAGGCGGATGGAGGAAATATGCTACTGGATAAAATGAATGCCTTTGTTTAATATGGAGGAATTTTAATCTCTTGTGTTTTCTGTCTGCGGATTTGGAAATCAGGTGTAGGTTGCAATGCATACACCTTGGAATGATTCAGTTCTTCCAACTCACGTGAGCAGCTAAGGGATTGTGGAATACGTCCACACAGCATATCCCCTAAAAAGAACTCATTCCTACTGCAACAGCACCAACGCTTGGAAAATATCTTCTGGATGCTTTAACTTGTCTGTCACTCCTTTTTCCCTGGGAGTTGTGTTGATGCAAAAACAATCTCTTGGGAGAGTAACAAAGTGTAGTGCACTTGCACTGAGTTAATACTGGTGCCCTTTCAGATCTACATGGTTTATCATAGGGAAATGACTAACAATTGAAAGGCAGACTTTGCACCTTTGTATTTACAATGTTTCTGCCCTCAATTGCTGTTTGTTTTCTGTCCTGTTTTTATTGTGTGTTTGTGTTCTTTCCCTCTCCCCTTTGTTTTGGCCACAGGAGGACACCGAGCCATGGTATTGCCATCGAGCGTACGCGAGATACTGGAGGCACTATGACTTGGCCATGCGCTGGATGCGTAGACACCAGCAGGCCTACAGGAAAGCCATGGAGGCCTTTTATCACCCACCGTGGTATCCTGCAGCCTCTCCCAGCAGCCGCTACTCGGATTGGGATGGGGATGATCTCCCACATACACAGAACTGTTCTTCCAGCTATAGCCCACGTGGCAGAGCTCCCTACACAGACGCCCACCAAGAGGGGGAGCATGCTGACAGAGATTCTGAAATGGAGGAGGATGACTCCGAGTCTGAAGGGGAGATAGAATGTGACTTGAGTAACATGGAGATCACAGAGGAGCTTCGCCAGTTTTTTGCAGAGACAGAGAGGCACCGGGAAGAACGGCGTAAGTCCATCCTCCCTGTGTTTTATGGTACTTGGTGGCCATAATATTGAGTTCTGGATGGCTTCAACATTTGCAGGTTTTGTGAGAGTTCACAGGAGGTACTGCAAGGGAGCGGTCAGAATGAAACAGGCAAAATTGATGGTGCAGTCATTAGAAATAAGTTTTAGAAGATATTTGACAGGTTTTCAGTAAGAAAATCATGGCTGCAAAGAGAATAACACATTTTTCCAGAAGATAATATTCATCTTCAGTGCTGAAGGAAAAACTTCAGAATTTTTATGGTTACATCTAATTAATGTGCTATATGTCTGAGAGACGGACCCCAGAGGAAGTGCTTTACTACATCACTGAACACTAGAATAAGCCTCAATGTATTTTAAAACATTGAGCAGCCATTTTGTTTGTTATTCTTTGGCTAACCCAACAGTAAAATTTCACGACCATTTTCTTCTCCCCCTGCATTCCTAGGGGATCTTCATTCTGTACTATGCCACAAGTTTCTCTTTGGTTTGCATCTTGATCTGGACCCAAGTCCTTAAACAGGGAATATAACTTAAAGACTTAAGATTTTTCTGAGGTCTTGATTCTCAGAGGTATTGGTCATCTTTGTTTCTGTGAAATCCCTAAAGAAATAAAAATATTATGCTGTACTTTATTGACACTTTACTGCATACACAAATGTTGCAGAGGAGTTTATTAACTGTTTGAAGAAAGCAGCATAATGAAAATAACTTTTCCCATGTGACTCCAATAGGAAATACCCAGAATGTTTAATATAGCTTTCTCTGAAAAGGGAAGTGGTCTAAAAATGCATAATAAAGGCAGTGATGGGGAAGGAGAGATAAAAATTTTGTTAAGTTCTTTTATCATAGTGCATCCAGTGGGCTGAGGCACCTCAGCTTAACTTCTCACTTCCTTTCGGTATGATGCCCAGTTGATCTAGTTAGCAGAGGAAAGTGATGAGTTAAGGAGCTCAGTCATAGTGCCTGACATGCATCCCTTTCTCATCTCACTTTTGCAGAATCAGCTTGGTGTTCTCTGTCGAGATGAGGCACGGGATGCTTTAAGTTGCTTAGCTGCTTCTGGAAATGCAGTACAGTTTCTTTGAATTTATTTGTTCTTTATGCTTAGTGGTGTTTAAAGGTATGCAAGTGATTAAAGAGGTAGCCTGAAAATTGGGAAATCTGGCCTCAGAGATGTTCTCTGTTCCAAATGTCCTCATATGACCTTGGTATAGCTATTTAATCTCTTCCTGACTGTCCTGGTTCGGGGTAGAACAGAACTAATTCTGTTCAGTGATTTTATTTTTCAGCTCAAGCTCTTCTAACTAACTGCACTCTCTGAAGCTAACAGCGAATTTTCCCAGACAGCGTCTGCCTCTAGCAGTGACAACGCTCCATGGCCAGAGTTACCACCAAGGGTTGCTGTGCAGACCAAGGTCACTGCTACATCCTGTGTACCACACAGGGGGCAGAAAGGAAAGGCTGCACCTGCAGGGAGGAGCGGACAGGACAGGTGACCCTAAATTGACCAGTGGGGTATTCCATCCCATATCCTCCGGTTCAGTATAAAGCTGAGGGATCACGAGGGTCAAGCCCCTTTGTCGCTTTTGCTGCTCCTGCACTGGCCAGCATCCGAGGAGGGCTCCATCCACCCTGCCTTTGATCCCTGGCCCTGTGTTCCTGAACCGAGCTCCAGAATCCAGCTTCTGTACCCAGCTGACGCTGAGTCCAGCCTGGGACTGTTCCCCAGGGGCTGCTCCCCAGCATCAGGGGTGACAGTTACGTATTGCCGTCAGCGGGGAGCCTGGTTCAATACCAGTTTTGTATACATTCCATTTTATTATTGTTACTAGTAGTAGTAGTATTTTCATTACAGCTGTTTTACTTTTCTAACTGATAAATCTCTCTCCCTTATTCCCTTTCTCTTCCCCTTTGGGGTGGAGAGGGGTTAACAGAGAGCTGTTACAGGTCTGGGGGCCGCCCTGACCCTAAGCTGTGACACTGACCCTTCACTGGCTGCTCTTTCAAAAAATATGATCTGACTCTCTGTCATGAGCTGATGAATTGGAAAGAGGTTTGTGACTTGGAATACAGCTTTAACTTTTGTTCCTTCCACCACAGCGGTACTTGGAGCTTTTTGGGATAATCAGGTCTCTGTCATGTGCCATATACTAGCCTAGTTTTGGGTAAGCATAACTCCATCCACTTCAGCAGCATTATTCAAGATCTTCCTGCAAATTTAAGCAGAATCTGGTCTTTAGCTACTGTGTGCCTTGGTTTCTTCAGTGTGTCTGATAAAGTGAGAATAGTAGTGACAATGGTCTGTAATTCCTCAAAGCACGAAAAAGTAAACAAACACTTGATGTAATTGAAATCCAGAAGTGCCACAGAACTCTTGGGTAAATAGTGCTATCTAAATGCTAATTTTGTGACTAATTGAAAATAGAGTATGAGTTTGGTCAGAAATAATTTTTTTCTTGCATGGTGGGGGAAAAGGAAAATAGAATATATTCTTAATTCTGTTGAAGTTTCTCAGAAGAACCAAGCAGCAGGAGGAGGGCAAAATCGTTGTTTCCCTGATGGTGTGGAAATGAGGTGGTATGGAGACTGATGAAGGCAGTACCACTCTACTTTAGCAGGTAGTGTTATTCATTTTACTGGATGCTGTTTCTGAACAAAATAAAATTTAGAGGTTTGTTAAGCTGCAATCTATAATGACACTATCTGTTGTATCTTTTATACTGTGCTGAAGAATGGTGGTTGTTCTGTATCAGTGCTCAAGAGGATGGAGATAATACATCCACAAAAGAAACCCACAGTTAAAGTGTTTTCTCTCTGATGCCTTTTCCTTTTAATCCCAAACTGTATGCTCTGCGCTGTCCCCCCTACCTTAGGGGCAGATTTGTAGAGAAAGTTTGCAGTATAAAGCTCAGTAATGTCTGAAATTTAGGCATCCCATGTCTGCAAGAGACATTTGTAATGTGTCAGTAGAATGCCAGTAGCAGCCTTGATGATCAGTTGAGGTATAAGCCAGCTGTTAGGGAGCATTAAGAGGAAGGCTGTGGCCCATGGTTTCTTTCTCTGGCATAAATTATATGCTCCAGGTGGTATTCACGGCCTTTGACCTCTATGCCTTGATAAGCACTTTGCAGAAGACACCTGGCTTGCTCTGCTTTTAAAATTAATGTTACACAAGAATTTTAGATAAGTTTATTGGTGATGTACTCAAGAGTGAGGCACGTGGAAAAGAAGAGCAGTGGGACAAATAGAAAGAGGAGTTTGGAAGGGGATACTAGTACGGAGGGTGGAGGTCTGATTTATCTTTGTGGAGGATGATTTCTGTTAGTCTGGTGTTTTTCAAGACCTGCAAAATTAGGCAATGCTATGCAGCATTAATGCAGCTGTTTCAGACATGTAATGAGAGTCTTGATTCACCAAGAAAGCTGGAGCTGGTTCCCACACATGATCCATGTCTCACCAACATGTGGAAGGATAATTGAATGGACTAAAATGAACGTCAGACTCTTCACTTAAGATGTCTGATCTAGAGTCTGATGGAGCTAAATGTAATCACAGATGTCAGAGGGATAAGGTCTTGCAAACTTAACTGTGGAAGACTTAAACAGGCCTGAGATGTGGGTGGGAAAGGTGTTTGTGTCTGGATGGTGACATACAAGCATTAACACTAATTGCAAAGAGAGAAATTTCAAAGATAAGAAAGCCATCAAGTCAGACTAGCCAAAGAAGAAAGTTTCAGGTGTATTTCATTTGTTGGTAACTGCCACAAACTTGAGGAACAAGCAGATTCCTAACTTCTGTGGGTGTTTTTTGTTTTGTTATGTTTTCACAGTGGGCATTTGCAGCGGTTGGCTGGCTTGCACAATAAAGCCTTTGAAACTGGCAAACTCTTGAGCCTTGCTTCATGATTTAACACTTCAGCAGCGATACAGTTGTTCACAAACAACCTCTTTTAAGACAATCTCTTTTTTTGTCTTTGACTTCATGTCAAATTCTTCCTAGTTTTTATATTCCTGTTGTGTGTTGCAGTCAAGTTATGTGTTCCTGGAATGCCCTGAAATAGTTGTGAGCAGAGTTTTGCTGAGGCAGTGTGAACCCAGACTTAATGCATGCACTACAAAGTTATCTCATATTCTAGATACATGGTGCAATTTGGTTAAAATCTCTTACAGGCAGTTTTAATTTCTTTCTTTAGTTATTTCTTCATATGCAATCATAGTTATCTAGTAATTCTACTTTGTAGGGAGTTTTCTTCTCAGGCTAGTCTGTTGTTTTGGTTCTTCACATAACTTCTTGGAGAGATTTTTAGCTGCATTTAAAAGTCTTCCACTGGCTGTGGAAAAGCACAGTTATTTTTCTGGGTTACCATGCCCATTAGACCAGATACTGTACTGAATTCTCTAGGCATCCTACACGTATCGGAAAGGATACAGTAAGTTGCCTTTTTATATTTGCAAGACTTAAAAGGACAGTAGTCAAGAAAAGAAGATTCACAAGCCTGACAAATCTGTAAATTGTCTAATTGCGCATATTTATTACACTTTTAAATTTAGCCTTTGAAACATGTAGTTGGTCCATATGCTGCTTTTCTTTGTTCCTTTTTTCCATGTAAGACAAAATGCTAACTGCAATTGAGTGACTACAGCATTGCAAGTAGATTGAGAACCATTCTGAAGTAGTCAACAGACAATGAGACAGTGTCCTTCACTTAAGAACAAAGGCAGGCAAAGGAGAGTAGTACCATCATGTCAGTTCATTACTGAAGGGTAATAGTCTGTCAGTTGTTCAGGCTATGACTATTTTTTTCCATTAAAGCCTCTGTCTGTGTTGCCCACACACACCCTCCAGCTTTTCCCAAAATAGTGTTGTCTTAACTTAAAATTTTTATGCCAGATGGAAAACCTTTACAAAAAATTGAAAGGAAATGGTGAATGAAGATGTTTGTTTCAAATCTACTGTTGGCAGGTTTTTTTTCCCTCA